ATATATGCTTAACAAGCCACTTTATCGAATGATCATCATGTGATCAATACTATTATCACGTGATCATTATATTATGTATAACCTAAGATCTTCTTTATTCCCCCCATCCCCTAAGATATTAGGTAATATCTGACAGTGCCCTTATTTACCTCTTTTTTTTAATATTTATATTATTTTTTTTTATTAAGATAAATATAATAATATTTATTTTATTATTTTAAATATACTTTCTTTGATATCATATAATTAAAAATCAACTTTTACCTTAAAATAATTTAATTGATATGTTTTGTATAATAAAATTTTAAGTATATAACCTTTTTTAATACTATAATTATTATATAATTTGTTATTATAAATAAATCTTATCAGAATTATAAAATTTTAAACTACAACCAATACGTATAATTTAAAAATTTAAAATTAACAAAAGTTTGTTATTATTAATATGAGTTAATATTAAAGTTTACACGGATTATTCGTAATACGCTATCCGTCACATGGCTAATTCTTAATTTATTAATGCCGGCGAAAATAATGTAATGCCAGTCATGTCACGTGAACTGTGTCCAAACACCCGTAATTGCCTTATTATTTATATCTTTTTTATCATTTTATTTTAAAAATGTTAAATTTCAAATTTTCATTATACAAAAAAAAAAACAAAGATTAAAGGACTAAAAACACATTCTAATTAACAAATATTAAATGTATAAATAGACCTCACTTTTTTACATGTTGAATAAAATATCAAATTTATGATAAGTTAATCAACAGCAAATAACTCTCCTAAATTTACATAACGTAATGCATTTTGGTCCAGATATTTATCAACTGAGCCTTTCAATCTGGCGACTTCATTTACAATTTTAGCACCTTAATAATAAAAGACGAAAAAATTAGAATTAAAAAATTTATCATATATTCTGCGAGATATTATAATTCATACCATTATTTCGCGCTTTATCCATATCAAATAATTGAGATAAGTAGAGTAACTGGATATACAACATTTGTTCGTCGTACTTAAAATTTGTTGAGAAAGTGAGTATAATGTTCTAATAATATATCATTATATATAAATAACATTTACCTCAATTTTCATCTTTCCATTACATCCTCGATTAATACAATTCTTTGAATAAGTGATTTGTCTAGTTTTATACAAACAACTTTGTTCATCACATATTCTCAAACCATTATAATATTTTTTAACATGTGTCCGAACTTTGAAAGTTAGTTGTGTCAAGATCGAAGCAAAAGGGATAATATTGTTACATCCACTACATTTAACTACCCCTTCCTACCGGTTATTAAAAATATTAAAATATTTTTATAAAATTTATATATATGAAGTAACTAGTACTAACCTTTTGTGGACTTAAGCATTCAACGGTATTAGATGCATCACAATATATACATTTTGGTATAAAGTTTTCAACACCCTTGAAACGTTCTTCTTTCGGCATTTTTGAGCTGATTTGATATGACGAATTTGCCGAATTT